TTATGCGCTAATAAATTTGTTAGTCTCTAAGGTGCCACAAGTACTCCTGTTCTTTTTACACAGGAGACTGAAAACCTGGACCATGGCTCTGTTACAATCACTAACTGCAGAGAATAAGAATTGGAGGTAAGTTTATTCTTCCCATTGTGGTGACTTTCAACCTGCTAGCATCAAAAGTGACAGTACATTTCTTCCATGGAAACTTCAATTCCCTGTACTGCTGTTGAATTTTAATAAGCATAATTCTAGAAAAACGCACTTCAGCATTGAGATCAAAGGATAAAATTAATAAATGAGAAAATCAGGGCATTAAAATTTGGTCTTCAAAGAAAGCAGAAAATAGTCTATATAAAGCTTTAGCCGCCTTTTGTTCAATGCATTCTTGATTGCTCTTGCTTCTATTTGAATGAAAAGACCCGTGGCCTTGTAATCCTCAAAGCCAGACTTCAAGAAAGTGGAATTAACACACTTTCAGATTCCTCGGTCATTCCAAGAATTATTTTAGCGCTTAGAGCTGTAGTGATTATAGCTTTCATGAAGATCCATAAAAAGTGCCCCAGCACAAATGTTCTGTCTCCTACAAATAGCTAATGCTTAAGTATTCCGGTCCCGGCTGTGCTGTCAGCAACGCATCACACTGTCACTGCTTGTGCGGCAGCTTCTCAGTTCAGCCTGCTGCTGACGGGGAAAGCGCATGTGATTTAACTGAGACAAATTACATTCTTGTGTAAATAGTTGTTTGACATGTTAATTAAAGATTGAAATTCAAACAAATTAAAGGGATCTTAATATTTCTCTGCTTGCCTTAGAGCCTGGCTTCACACGGAAAACCACTCTACTTCAGGGTTCAACACATGTCTGTTTAATGCTCATGTTCTCTGACTAGAAGGCATGAAATAGCAACCTGCCACATCCTTTATTAAAGGTCATTTTTCTATGAATTCGTTGATGCTTTGTAAAAAATAACTTGTGACTTGAAACATATGATTGCTGGCTCCTGCCTTTCATGGGTTCCTATGGGGTTAATGGTGTCTGCAGCACAAATGCAGGTACTGATCGTTGTTAGCTCTGGACTCTTGGTTTTAGGAAGATTGTCTTTTGTATTCTTTGAACACAAAACACATTTCACATTTTAGTAAACTGCCAGACACTAAATATGGCTGTGATTTAAAAGGGATGAGACTCTTGTGGTTCTGATCCAGCAAGCGTCAGGAGGGTATTAATAGCTTATAGCTGGGTGCAGCCTATGTGATCTTTGACAGGGAGAGTTTTCTTAATGTAGAATTCCACCCTTGAGCAAAATTCTTTTACAAAGACACACTTTCAATATAGGCACTGAAGATTCCCTGTATCTCCCTATGTGAAAGCACTAATGATGTGGAACGACACTTTTCTCATACACTTAAGCTGCTGTAGAAAAACTACTCAGATAACTGTTTTCTAGGCGTTGTTACTGTTACAAAGGTGGGAGTGTAGTCTGAAATCCATGGCTGTGAATTATCTGGAACTGTGTAGTTTAGATGCATCAGTGGGTTTCAGTATGATTTTCTTCATGTTTATTTGCATCTTTAATGTATAAGTTAACATTGGAAATGCTTCTGCCCAGCAGTGAAGTTGTTCTTCCATAGGTAGTTCTGATTATTTATTTTGAAGTATTGTTTTTAACAATTAACTCTTAATCCGTTTTCTTTTTGTATGGAGGAAAATTGGATTATGCAGTTAGGGTGGTGATGTTTGCAGGTCTTTGTTGCTCTATCAAAAATAATCACTTCTCTGTAGTGAAATCCAAAATTATGACTGGGCTTTGGAGGATTAAATTTTTATCAGTAAATGTTGATAAGCATTGATTTCAGCGCGGACACACACACACACACACACACACACACACACACACACACACACACACACACA